GCAGATGTCATTGCAGGAAAGGTGATGAAGTGTCAGAAACATGAGCAAAGGACCATGGGTCTCATATCCTCGTGCTCTAAAGCCCTGACAGGTGCTCAAGGGGGACAGATCTGGGTGACTATTCCATGAGATAAGTGAGCTCCCAGTGTTCTGTACAACATCCCAACTGCTATTTCCACCTAAACAGAGAGAAAAACCAACTACACTTCAAAATTACAAAGGTGATGAAGTGTCAGAAACATGAGCAAAGGACCATGGGTCTCATATCCTCGTGCTCTAAAGCCCTGACAGGTGCTCAAGGGGGACAGATCTGGGTGACTATTCCATGAGATAAGTGAGCTCCCAGTGTTCTGTACAACATCCCAACTGCTATTTCCACCTAAACAGAGAGAAAAACCAACTACACTTCAAAATTACAAAGTGCAACATCCCAACTGCTATTTCCACCTAAATAGAGAGAAAACCCAACTTCACTTCAAAATTATAGCAGAAAGTGCTGTCATGAAGCCAGACATGAAGCCTTTTGAGTCTGACCATCTCATAGATAGATGTTCTTTGAAAGCACTAATTGAGTTTCTTTTGTCTAAAACAAATGCTATGCCTATAAATAGCCCATGGGACAACCCTCAGTGATGCCATGCTGGACTATAACAGAGCAACTGAAGAGTCAGAAAGAGAGCATTTTAAACAGGATTTTTATCCCAGTAAAGCAATTTTCATATTATTTTATTGAATGTATTTCAAGAAGAGTTTTATGTTCAAGTAAAAAAAATCAGCTTATTGTTAAATAGAAGTTCTTAGAAAGCTCATTTTTAATTCCTGTCCATTGAACTCTTTGTGTCACTCATAAATTAGTTGCCCCGTTAGCATATTAGCACTATTGGATAGAAAAACACACCTCATCCCTGCTAGGAGTAGCAAGTTCACTATAATCCATGGATTTGAAGACATGCATAACCAGAGCTTTGCAAAAGAAGAGTAAAATTAAACTCCTGCAGAGCTCATTAAAAGGGAATGAAAAAAAATCAATAAGCCTCTTGCATGCACAAAGAACTGGTCAGGAGGAAAACAGGTGATGCTAAGTTACAAGATCATTTTAACAAGGCTAAAAAAATTTAATAAATATATATAGTCCCATGAGGATGACAAGCTGTGCCTCGAAACAGACAGCTGTGAGCAAACTGCTTACCTGTCTGCAAGAAAGTTGCCTAGAGCTCCTATAAACATCAAACCAATTTTCTGTGCCTCCCTGTGCCCAGAAAGGGAAGAATGGCTAACAGTCAGCTGAAGGACATTGCAGCCTCCTGCAAGTTATTTTTCTTTACAATGTTGTGAATCTCCAGGGTTATTTCATTATATTAGTTGAAGCAGCTTATTAACTAGGATAAAAAATTGACCCAAATAATTCTCAGTAAATGATTAGTGTCCTACTTGGACTGAGCTGAAGTGGCAACAGTTTCAAGGCTAAGTCCTTGTTCATGCAGTAAGTTGCAATTGTCAGAGCAGCAACACTGTACTAGAAGTCTACAGTAAATCCTAAAATCCCTCTATTTCATCAGGCTCTACACTTTGAGGGACCTGACTCCTGCTCACTTTCATAAATAGCCCAAACTGGGATGATGCTGTAGCCTGAGAAGCCTCATGCATTTACAAGGGCTGTGTGTCAGTCAGATCTGTAGCACAAGGTCTGTCAAGCAGCACTTTGCAGTGGCCTTTTTGGCTCAGAGCACAGCACGAGGCGAGTGCAGAATCTGCATCCACCCTGGAGCAGCCCAGGGTGAAATTGCAGTGTCCTTGCTTGGGAGATGAGTCATCCTAACAGGTTATGTCACCCTTTCTCCTTACACAACCCAAACCAGCTGCCCCGACACGCTGTGCTGTTGCCTGGCCTGGGCCCCTGCTGTCCTGTCCTCTCCAGCTCTGTTTGCACAGGGCAGATGTCAACTGGACCCTTGGAAGCTCCTGCAATGGAGCTTCACTCTGGGGAACCACCTGCACTCTGTAAGAGGGTACATGGTGCAGGGTCTGCCATCCAGTGGGATTTATTCACAACAAAACCACAGCCCTGTTTCTCCTGATTGCTTTGGAATATTCAGGACTCTGGTGCTTTCCTTACCCGTGGATTTGTGCTTTTACCTGTCCCCAGATGATCTCTAAAACACAGTATTAGGACCTAGTGCCAATCAAAGCAGCACACCCACTCTGATTTAGGCGTGAGCCGATCATTTCTGACCAAGAACATCACTACTGTGAGTCTCAGGTGCTCCTCACCAGAAATTCTCCAACAGGGCTGTCTCCTGCTTGTCATTACTCCATTAGTCATTATACTTCCCATCAGGCAGGATCTGAAGGAACTTGTGTCTCTGACTGCAGTTTCATTGTGGCACAGCTGTCAGCAGCTTGCCTTTCCCCAGGATGTGAGAAGCAGAGTTACCTTCAAAACATTTAGGGAGCCTCCCCCAATATTTCTCCCCATTGTGAGCACAAAGCTGATCAGGTGTAGCTGTACTTCCAGCACTGAGGGGTAAGGGCTGCCTGTCAAACAGTGCAGGCAGCTGCTAATACACCGATGATTATGTACAGGCTGCCTTCACAATGAGCTGAAATGTAGGCAAAGAACTTTTTCCCCCTCCCCTTCCCTGTATCATAGCAACTGTGCTACTGCAAGGGCTATTTTAAGAACAGTAACTTTTCACCAAACGTGATTATGAGGCAGGCTGAGTGAGCTCAGCGTGCAGAAATACTGCATCCCTTCCACAGCATCTCGGGGCCAAACCTGATACCCTTACCCCAAAGCACAAGAGATTATCCTGCAGATTGTCCAAACAGCATATAAAAAGGGGTAGCTATGAATCTTGGCTATTTTAAATCAACATTCAAGAAACTTGTCATGATATCATTGCAAGAAAACATAGCTATCTTGGCTATTTTAAATCAACATTCAAAAAACTTGTCATAATATCATTGCAAGAAAACATAGCCCTGTCAGGAGCTTCCAGAAAGGAGTGTCGAGGGCTGAGAAATACAAGCTGGGAGGTGAGGGGTGGACAGCAGGCAGGTCCATCAGCATGGAGCACTGCCCAGGGTGGGAAGGAATTGCCTGCTGTGGTTTGCAACAGGGATGTAGATCTTGCAAATTCTGAGAGAGTAAAAGGATAGTTTGTATTCCAAGGACTCTTGCCTGAATAGGAGAGTACTAGAAAAGCTTCAGTCATCAGGATGCATACAGCTGCAGGGATCACTGGCACAAAAATCTTTCAGAGTAAGCAAAGGAGCAGTTTCTAGGTCTGCATGAAGAGGGATTTGAATTTCTGATCAGCTCAATCACACAGGACGTGCCTTTCAAAGCTGAGTAACTAAAACTATGCTCACAGCCAACAGCTTGGGAGGGAATATTAGCAGCCTTGTCTTTGGACAGGCTCTGGCATTGCTGCTGGAGCAGCTGCATGGCAGTGAGATGTGCACAGAGCCTGACACAACTTGGACATGTCAGACCAACCTGTGAACGTGCTGGACCACTATGGGCTCTGCTCATGCAAGGAATCACCTTGTCCCACAGACCTGTGATTTCCCATGCTTGTGCTCATCTCCAACATGGCAGGTACTTTCAGAGTACAGTGGCCTTCCTGTCCATGCACAGTGATCATTTGCCCAAGCTGCTGGATGCCCACAGAAATAGGTTCCCTGTTGACAAAACTGAGTGGGAAATAGTATCCAGATGGACTGGTCTCCATAAGATTTGCATTACAGATGGTTAACACTGTTACAGATCAGGTGCTGCTCTAAGAGAAGCCTCAGTCCCCCAAGCACTAGCAGCTTTGAGACTCACTCTTCTCAAGGGGATGGCAGGGAGTTTCACCTTTCACTGCTCATGGTTTAATTAAGTGATTTGTTGTTTCAGAAACTGAAGGCAAAGCCTGCACTGGTGATGATGCCACAGGAGTGATGCAGAGTGAGCCTCCAGCACCTGTGTGCCAGGCACTTGCCCCAGAAGAGGTACAGCAAGAGACTACAACAGTAGCCACAACGAATGTCACCTCGTTTGGTGAGGAGCTGCATTTGGATGATCTGAAAGAAGATGCAGGTATTGGATATAAAACGGTTTCAAAAAACTGTAAAATGTTGTAAAAATATTTCTTCTGTTTTATGAGGAGTCAAACACGTCAGTACATGAAAGAGTCAGAGCACCTTGTTCAGCTCAGCCCCTACTAGGTTAGCAATAGGTACTTAAAAGCAGTGATTTTTGAGACTTCTGCCAAACTGAGGGACCACACAGAGCTTGGCATGATGGGATTAGTTGGATTATGAGAGGATCCGGTCTTGGCATGGAGCCCCTTTGGTATTAGCAGTGGCTGCTGTGAAGATGAAACAAGCTCCTCTTAAAAATATTTCTTCAACTTCTGTGCCAAGCCTGAAATTGTTTGTCCTGGCTTGGGAGAACAATGTCAATACAGAGCCCACACTGTCCGTGCCATCACCCTGTTACAGCATGCTGCATTACAAGAGAAGTTCAATACCAGGAGCACAGCTAAGCTAAAGCAAGCTCCTTTCATGCAGCTCTGCTCCAGCACAGCTCATCCACGGCAGCAGCTCCTCAGGCCTAGGGCAGGCACAGCCAGGCACAGCCCAGCAGCTGGAGGGTTTCCATTCACTTCCTGACGATCAAGAAATGCAAAGCTGCAGAGATAACGTTTTATCCCAGTTTGTGAGGATGGTCATGTAGTTATTATGGATCCCCGTGGCCTCTGATCAATCTTTACACCTTCTCCATCTGCCCTGGTTGCCTTTGATCTCCATCCCACTCCCTCTCACCCTGCTTTCTCTGGGGTCCCAGCCCCTGGCTGCTGTCACCAAGCCCACCCCTACCTGCTATGGTTTGCTTATGCCCTCAACCTGCTTCAGCAGCTCAAAAAGGACATCATTCCCTCATTAGTCGAGGCAAAATCCATTCATCTCCCTGTTCTTAGAAAAATCAGATCAAATCTTGACCAGAATCCTTCAGGCTTCCTTTCTTCTTACTCTTTCCTAGAGCATTTAATTCCATATCACTAATGAAATTTCTTTCTGAACATCTAATTCTTACCACTGGGACAGGCTATCCTGAAAAGATGGCACTAATAAGGTACCATGCACTTAACCTTATGACTCTGCCAACCCTAGTACTATTATCTAACATTTACCTTACACTGTGTTCAAAATTGTGTATTGAAGCTTTCAAAGTCATCTCAATTTCTTGTGTCTCTTTCTGTAATCCTAGTTCCTTTTGTTGTCTCCCTAGCACAATCTTTCCTCTCTCCTTATTTCTTCTCCTCCATTTTTGAGGTGTCATTTTCCCAGGTGCCACAAAAATAGCAGTGGGATTCCCTTCTCCTGTCTCTGTAGTCTGTGAGACTCCAATTCTATTTATTGGAAGTCTTCCTTCCTCTTTCATCAGTGGCCTCTGGCATTCAAAATAATTAATGCTGATCTAGTCATTGTGTGCTAATTTATCCCTGTCTGTGCATTCTAGCATTCCTGTCTCCAGTGAGTGCACCTGAAGGAATTAATTGGGTGAGAAAGCTCTTCAAAATTGTCACAGTGTATTGCTAAGTTTATGATAATGTTGAGGTTTTTTTATAACGTTTGTCCTTGGGCTCAGTCCAGGCCCAAATTCATATGAATATATGACCAGCTAGAAACAAAAGGAATGTATTTGCTTTATACCCAATGTTGTACTTCATCCTGAGGATATGGGATAAAGGCCAGGGAGGAGAAGAGGAGGAAACACAAGGAAATATTTGTAGGCTTCATGCTAACACACAGAAAAAGAACAGCCTGGGCACCAAGAGGGCAGTTTTTCCCCAGCAGACTTGGGGGCAGTCCCAAGGGGAGGGTTTCTAACTAGTAATGAGGTGGCATTTTGACAAGTGGCACTCCATGAATAATTTGCTACTCCAGTACAGAATCTAGAGCACATGGATTTTTTTTACAGTCACTCTGCAGTATGAAATCTGTTAATAGGTTTGAGCACTCAAGATCAGGTCTACCTTCAGACTGAGTCAAACATGCTGCTGTTACCAGAAACAACACAAAATGACCCAGCAGCAAACTGATCTTCACAGGGAATGGAAAATGGACATTCCTCAGACATCAGTGCACAGTGTTTGTTTCAGGATACCTCTCAGAGCAGATGGAGTTCAGAAACAGAAAGGTCTGTCTGACTGAGACTGAGTGTGTTTCAGATCCACCTTCTCCCTAGCATAGGTCCCACTGTGGCTGCTTCTCTGCACCTGTGCAAACAGCTCTTCATGTTGCAGGGAGAGCTGCTGATTTCAGTGCAGTTTCTGCCAGGGAAAGTATCACTTCACCCAGGGGAATGCACTCAAACCTGACTAATTTTCCCATCAAGCTCCTAACATCTACTGAGGCTCTCGATCTCGCTGTAATGTAACCATTAGGGACTTTATTTTTCTCTTCCCCTATTCTGCATTTTGCCTGCTATGCAGTGGGCACAAACAGGCAAAGTGATGTCAGCCTGGAACAAAGCATTTCCCTAGAAGAACATTTTAAGGAAAATTATTTCCTTCTATAATTCACACAATTATCATTTACAGCAGCTTTCCTAGCAAGCCAAATTTCACGAGAATTCCTGTTAACAATGTATTTATTCCACTTTCCTGTCTTTTTTGAATGATAAATATTCCTCCTCTTCTAGGCAAACTCATTAATCTGTTTGTCAACAAATTAAATGCTATTATCTTGCCAATGCTATTGTTTCCAACTGCCTAAGTGCTTTGATGCCTCCCCATGCACTCTGAACATGAGGCTGCTGAATGTTCATTAATACAGAGAGTTTGAATTCCCAATGAGACATAAAACTGAGCCAAGGAAAGATCTGTGATGCAGCAGCTGTGGGTGCTCACTGTAGAGAGACTTTAGGAGATGCCCTAGAATGGTTTGGAGGGAAAGGTAGTCTGTTCTGACAATCAATCCATAATGCCAAAAGGAGTAGGATTTGGCAGGTAGTTTGGGCCTCTCTCATGCTCTGCTTTCATGAGATCCCACCTGGAGTACTGCATCCAACTCTGGAGTCCTCAACAACCACAAGAAAATGACCTGTTGGAGCAGATCCAGAGGGATGGAACTCCTCTCCTGTGAAGACAGTCTGATGGAGTTGGAGCCATTCAGCACAAAGAAGAGAATGCTCCAGGGAGACCTTACTGCAGCCTTTCAGTGCTTGAAGGGAGCTTAGAGAAAGGTGGGGACAAACCTTTTAGCAGGACCTGTTGTGATAGGACAAGAGGTAATACTTGGAAACTGAAAGAAGGCAGATTCAGACTGGATATAAGGAAGAGCTTTTTTTACACTGAGGGTGGTAAATGCTGGAACAGATTGCACAGAGAGGTGGTATATGCCTTATCCCTGGAAACAGTCAAGGTTGGGTTGGGCTCTGAGCAACTCAATCTCATTGCAGGGTGAGGTTGGACTAGATGCCTTTAGAGGTCTCTTCCAGCTCAAACTATTCTATGGTTCTGTACTGAGGAGAGACTTCCACTGATGTCCCATTTGGATGAGTGCTTTCCCTGCTAGGGCAGGAAAAATGACCCTCATGGCTACTACTGAGCCCACAGTGTCTGGAAATGCAGTTTGGAGAGAGCCTGGCCATGGCTGGGTGTCTGCATCAGTCAGCCTCAAGCCTCTCCATGGTCCCCACATACACCAAGGCAGAGATCAGGACATGTAACAGAGTGTCAAAGTCCAACAGTGAGGCACTGTGTGAGTTTAAGCACTGCCAGAGCCAGCTGGTATCTAAGCAGAACTCAAGGATGCTAATTTTGGACTTCATCACTGAAATTCCACCCATTCCTCTTTCAGTTTCATGCCTTTCTGGATCTATTCCCCTGTGCCCTCATCAGAGTCTGGTCAACTTGATGAAATGCTCAGTAATTCATCCTGCACTAACTTTAAGAGCCAAGTGCTTTTGCCATCCTTATGGACTCAATCCTGAAATGAGCACTGCTTTACCATCTCAGATTAAGGCTTTGGTGATTGAATCTTTTCTTAAGCACTTCACTGATTCCCCACTAGCTGCTGAGATCCAACAGCAAATCCTTTTTATGGCAGGTTCTTCTTGGTTTAACCTCAGGAAAGACTCAACGGTTCTTAGGTCAGGCACAGTAAAAGGAGACTTGGGAAGCAAGTTGAAATCATGTAGTAAATAAGATAAAATTAAATAGTGAAAATAAACCCATCAAACTATTGGAAAGTCATCTTTTGTGTAACATTGCTGGTTTGATACTCTTTGCCCTTTGGCTGTGTGTTCCTAGCACAGGAGAGTATTCACTCAGGAACTGCCACTGCAGCTGCATGCTGCAAGAAAATCCACTGCAGTTCTCAAAAGTTGCTTTGCCTTGCTATCTTCATTATTAAAGAAAAAAAGGAAAGGGAAAAAGGCTTTAGGGAAGTAAGGGAAGCTCAGCAGTTTTCTCAGGAACATCAAAACTAACATTTCTTCAACATCCTCATACATTTTATTCTCTACCTGCTTTGGCTGGTTGGCTATTTCACACAATAATTATCTTCACTGTGGAAAAGGAGTGCTTCTAGCTGTGTGCCATGTGTTCTGCTTTTCTGAATGTTCCTGGCATTGTCCCCTGGCCTATCATTATTATTAACTTCATGTTCCATTACTTTTACTCATCTTCCTACTAGCCAAGAAACCTTCAGCACCCACGGAAGGATCAGAAGATGCCAGCCTGCCAGCATCTGAAGACAGTCCACAAGCCTTACTTGTACCTGAATCCACAGACTCCCCCCAGAAACAGACAGAAAGAAACCCAGCACAGCTTCCCAGCCCTCCATTGCACCCAGCTCCACCACCTAAGGCAATCTCCAAAATCACAAAGAGCATAACAGGTCAGTCATTGCTGCTCGGTAAAGACTTCTCATCCTTTATGTATTCACCTACACAGCACAGTATCTGATTTTTTTTTTCCTCTCGTGTCAATTTTTAAACCTATTGCCCCAAACTGCTGTGACTGGGGCTGGTTATACTGAGGGGACACAACACTAATGATTTCCATGAGCTGAGTGCTCTGCTTGCCTGATAACAACACACTGATCTTTGTACTCCACGTATTTATCTGAATCTCTCTGGGGATTATTTGTTGTGTGTCTATTGCACTAAACACATGTAAAACAAATCAAACCAACACTTGCTGAATCACATGCTCACATCAATGTGCCATAAAACACAAGGAAGAATTAAATGTTTTCATTATCTGATCTCCCACTGGATAGAAGTACAACAGCCACAATCAAGGTCAAGTCAGTATGTTCAGCAGAGGTTTCTGTCTGAAGGGTTTGCTCTCTAGGGTAGGTCTAAACTAGAGCTATGAAAGCTGGTGTGGTTAACAGAACACACAGAAGTGATACACCTGGCTCCCACAGAGCAATCCTCTGTGCCAGACTTCATTGAACATTTCAAAAGCAATTCCTCTGGGCCTGATTTTTCTAATGTATTGCCAATGTTGTTACGTTTTCCAACATTCTGGCACTGCAGAAAGGGTGTTAAAATGGATATGATTTTAGTTGGTTCCAATTTTAGGGCCCCTACATATGGTAAATGCAGTTAAAAGGGCCTTATTGCAAATTAGAATCAAGTCCTGACATCTGAATGTCAGACCTGTTGGATATTCAGGCTTTTAAATGACAGTCATTATCTCAGCCCTGATTTGCATCCACACTCATCTCCTGGCACAATGAATAGAGGTTGCAAAGTCACCAGGAAACAAAACATCAGAGGGGCAATTGTGACCTGACCACTGGGGCTCATAGAAAATAATGAGGTTTTCAGTTGTTTCGAAGAAGATTACAAGTATTTATTTTCCATGGAAATTATCCATACTTTGTCCATGCTTAAAAGCCATAAGAATTTAAGTGGGAGCTGAGAAATGGTATTGAAATGCTCCTTGGGAGCTGCTGTTCAGATTTCTTCAATATTCTGTGCTACAGGTCAGGCTCTAGCCTGGCCCTTCCACCCTGCACGATGAACAGGCAGCCCCAGGGCCCCTGTGCTTTGCTCAGCTCTGAGAAGGCCATGGAGGCTGTTTGGAAACCTGACTCAAGGAGGGTAGAGAGTTTACACCTCCACCACTCACTCCACAGCATTTCGAGTCTTGGTATTTTGCTGCTTAACCAAAATGTTTCCTGGAACATTTAAGATATTCTGAGTTTTGGTATTTCATGCTCATTTACATTTTCCATAGAGAACAACCTTTAATTTTCTCAATGACTCCAAGAACTATAGACCTTTTTTCAGTAGTGATTATACATGTTTATTTTTGTGGGGATGTGGAGGCAGTGCCAAGTTAAAATTAAACAAATACTGTCAGTGAGTGAAAGGGAATACAAAAGTGTAGGGAGGGAGAAAGAGCAATTATGAAAGAAAAGGAAGATGAAGAGGTTGAAAAGCTCTTTTATGTTCAGTTTTTCCCCCCCTTAACAATGTTAGGGATGCTGTTATCAGAGGAGTGAGGAGCAAGTCAAGCACCAATTAATCAGAGAAAGGAGGAACAGGGCCAGGTGCCAAGACATCACTTTGCAAGATTATTCACTGAACAGCTGTCATTAGGACAAATAAGATGTGTTCTAAAGAAACTCACAATATTGGCCTAAGCTGCAGTGATGACAAAATTGGCCCTTGACCTGCTCAGGAACAAGTAGGTATAAAGACAAAACAAAGTCTCCTTTGCTGCTTTAGGGCTGAGCTGAACCAGTGATTCTTGCTCTGAGGAAACACAGACACTCTCCCTCTCACTGTCCAGCAGTATAAAGTGACTCAGGAGGTGTTTTTTTCATCCCCTCAGGCCATGATTCAATGGGCAGTGATTGATTATAAATGTCCTCTGTGCATGTCCACAGTAGCACATAGTCAAAGTCCCTTTGAGCACCAAAACCCATCTTTGCTTAGCAGAGCTTGGCTGTCTCCTGGCTGCAGCAACCATCCTGATGGGTGCAGGAGCAGCTCCAGGGTGGGAAGGTGTCTCACTAGACACTTGAGGAAATGTCCTTGTGCTGGATTGCCAGCACTGAACTTAAGACAAGGTATGTGGTTGGTAGCCACTATGCAGGATGCTGGGTCTGAGAGGAGATACTTAATAACTGAAGCTAATACTCAAACCTACTTTGGCCCTCTCCAGTTTTCTAGTAAGTTCCCTGCCAATAGGAACCAAGTCCTTTTAACATTGCTGTTTCAAAGCAATCCTGACCTAAGCAGAGGTTTTTCTCTGCCAGGAATTGAAGGATTTATCTCAAAAGTGAAAAAAAGGTAAAAAATAGCTGTGAAAACAAGTTTGTACACAACTGTACAAGCTGTGCCAGTTCAGATTCCTGTGTAAAACACTAGGTGGCAACAGGAGACAAGAGATACTCTTGGATGAGTTGCCTTTTTACACCCAGCCCGAGCTGTCGGTGTAAACAAGACCATTTGCCAGAGGCTTGGGACACAGATATAAGGGAAAGGGGAAGAGAACTGCAGAACAGAAAGCTAATCAGCATCTTTTCCAAGCCAGATGTTCAGTTATCCTAAGGGTGTGAAACTAGCAAATTTACAACCAGGGAAATAGCCAATGTGTTTTGGACTCAAGTGCTAGAGAAATGTGTGTATCAAAGTCTAAATTTCAACAAAACACTTATATTGCATAGAAAACTACAGAACCTGGAGTTAAAAAGAGATTAGATTGCCCCACCCTTCTTTTTTCTTGTTAATGCCCAATACCACATCTTTCATTTGGATGTCATTTGACAAGTTTTGTTATGCAAACATTATCCTCATAATGATTTTGGCATTTTCTCAACGGGCATATGAAAGACAGAGGTCTAAGCTGTGCAGCAATCACAGAGGAGCAGATAATAGACAGTGGTACATTTTGTCCAGGCTGAGAACCACAGTGCATAAATTTTAATACAGTCTGCCAGAGTCCAGCAGAGAAAGTGCTAGATTGGAAAGCTACTGCAGTCTAAGCCATTGGTGGTTAGGAGCAACAGTGTGGGCAATCAAGAATGCATTGGTGGGCTGGGAAAAAGAGAATCTGATACTGTGAGAAAGAGGGGAAATGGGGGAGGCATCTATTTTGCTCGATCAAAGATCTGGATTTGTGTAGTAAGAGCCTTTTTGAACTCAAATAGTTACTCAGCCTAACCTTTTGTTCTTGTTCATAACAAGAACAAAACATCACCATTTTCCTCTGTTGAACACAACAAATTACTTTCAGTGCAGACTCTGTAGGCAAAAAACTAAAAGCTTTGAACAATTTTTATCCTCTTGTGTTTTGACAGCAGGAAGTGAAATAGATGACCCAGCCATGAAATCTCCTCCTTCTACCATCCTGAAGAATTATGTCATTGTTGGTTCCTCCCAAATCTCAGGACAAGCTGCCCTCTTCCATCCCTCCGGCCAGAAAAGTTCCGAGCCCCATGTCAGAGGACAGGTAACAACGCCAACTGGTTCCCCTCACCTGGCTGCTGTTCATCTGCCTTTACCTCCCAGCAGAGTCATTGAAGAACTCCACAGGGCTCTGGCCACCAAACACCGGCAGGACAGGTACCTACAGCCTCATGGCTCTAGGGGTGCATGAGGAGAGTCATTCCACTCAATCATTTCGCTTGGTAAATGTTCCTATCCTGCTATTAGCATTTGAATTACTGCTACAGCTTGTCTTTGCCTTCCTTTTGATGTCACTACTTGGAACATCCGTTCCTGGTTAAAGTGCTTAATTTGGCAGTTACTGCAAAATACTTTCTTGCTTTGTAAGGAGGCTCCTGTGGCATGGAAGTAGGTTTTCAAACAGGTAGAACCATTTGATAAAAGAAAATCTCTCCACAAGACACTGAGTTAGTGAAGGCATATCCTGCTCTAAGTCCCAGTACTCTACAGGTGAGAAGTGCTGCTATTTCAGGCTGTGTCTCCTGGCTTATATATGAGCATATACTATATCCATTTTTAATACAAATGCTTTTGTGGGAGTACATTGGGTACTTTATAGGATTTCATTAGAAGCTCTCCTGTATATTAGAGGGGGGCAGAGATAACCTTTTCCATCCTTGAGCTTTGTAGTTAAGTTGGTAACATTTCTCAGTTCCATAACAACTATTGCCATGGGGAAGAGATTCACACAATATCATTTTGAGGCCCTGTTAAACCTCTGTCATGATCATAAAATACCAGAATGGCAATATTTCATGCCATGTATGTTTCACAAGAGAAGGATGTGCTGTTGTTTTTTTAATCAGTACATCTTATGAGTGTATATCAAAGAAAAACATTAGTCATCAGCCTTCCATATCTTCTTATAATGACAGAAAGAGGAATGTAGATCCACATCAGCCATTCCCAGCACAGTGTTGATCATGCCATCCTGTGTTGTCCCATGGTGAACTTTCTGCCCTGGCCTTTACAAACAGCACAGTGTTGATCATGCCATCCTGTATTGTCCCATGGTGAACTTTCTGCCCTTACGAGCTACAAGACATTCTGCTCATTCTCATAGAATGATAAGTTTCTCCCATTACAATAAAAGAGTCTTTGATAAAAACTGGGCTTTGCATCTTCCACCCACAGCTTCCATGGAAGAGAAAGCAAAGGCTCTCCAAAAAAAAGAGTGGATGTTCGTCCATCCAGAACATCAAGCATGGAGCGCAACAAAGAGAAGGAGAACTCACTGGGTTACAGCAGTGATTCAGAAAACAAGAGGAACTCAGTTAAAGAGTCGGATGAGAACAAAGAAAACATGATCATGAACTCAGAGCTCAAGGAAGAGTCTGTTTTTTATCAGGATGAGGAAGTTTTGAACGACTCTGTTATTTCTGGTAAGGAAAGTCACTTATTGCATTACAAAGACACACCATGGCAGCACTAAACAAGGCAACATGCAACAGATGATACTGAGCAGGGTAAATTCCTCCCTTGTCACATCACCTTTTTCAAGGAATCCTGGGGAAAGCTAAAATTAAATTTCAATCATAGTGATTGTGAGCATGTTTGTCCTGGCAGGTACTGCCAGGAGTTTAGAGTTATGTGGTAAGTCAATATATCAGTGTGCTTTGCCCTCTCAGTTACTTGTGGACCCTTTGTACAGCTGTGTGTGAGTGGCAGCACTCACAGACATCTCTCTGTCAGTAGCCAAAGTTTTCTGGATGTGGTGCCAATGCTGTGGATGTTTTGGACTCATCCCATTTTAGGACTATTATTCCATGCACTGATGGTACATTGAAAAGTGATAGAGGCCAATAAATCTAGGGAGGACAAACATGTAGAGAAAATATCTCAAAAAAGAACATTTCTATCCATTTGGTCCATTTTACCCTTTCTTGAGGCATGTGGGGAATATATTTTATAATCCTGAGCAATTGTTGAAGTGAGTTTTGGCAAAATAATCAGCTCTCATTAGAAAAATCATTTTTCTTTCAAGTTTTTAATGTTTTCCATGTTAGCAAGACAAAGATTCAGTCTGAAATGAATCCTTCAGTCTCTTCACCAATGCATTAAAAAGGCAGGCAGAGAAAAATTAATCAAACATAATTGTTCAAACTGATGAAAGATGAATTTTAAAAGATGCCTGTTAGAAAGTATGTGCCAGCAAACAGGACATGAGTTCTGTTCTTATGTCTTAAGACACTTAGTACCAGAAGAGACTACTAAGATAAGGCAAAAGAAAAGAGAGTCCCTCCCGTAATCGCTGTGCATTTAGGGATAGCTTAAAAAATAAAAATCACCTTCTAAGTTCTATTTTTTTCTGACTATGTGTATAAAAGCACTCTCCTTTGGTAAAAATTCTAAGAGCTAGAGGCAGCCAGACAAAAATAAATATGTTATCCCCTATTAATGAAAACAAATCTGAATATTTGAAGAGAAATCTCTGTATATTTAACAAATGATTATTCGTTATTTGTGAAGACTGAAGTTGGGATACTTTTTTTTTAGGGGCTGGTTTGGAAGTCAGGAAGTAAAACTATCCAGTAATCCAGAGCTGCTTCACATGGTTAACAGCCTTAGCCCATCACCAACTTTGCCACTGCCACCACGATGCAGAGCAGTGCATCAGTGCCACAGCTCTGTGGCTACAGGGAAGTTGGTGCAGACAGGCACAGATAACTCTGGAAAAAGTGAGGAATTGCACCTTGGTTCTCCATGAGCTTCCCACTCAATAAATCATTATGTGAAACCTCTAAAAACACAAGGCAAGACAGCAGTCTGGTGCTTAAAAATCAAACTAGCATGTAACCCCCACCTGATAACTGGGGCAATCCAGGTCCTTCCAGCATCATGCAGTGTTAGGATTTGCTTTTTGCTGGATAGAAGGAACAGTAAATATGTCAGAAAGAACAGTTAACATACAGGAAATTAAATGTCATGATTCAACCAAATTAAAACAGGAACTTCTCTCAGAAACCTGCAGCCTGAGCATGAGAAGGGTGTGAATTTTCCAAGCACTTCTTGTTGACCTAGCTGAGCTGCCATAAGTCATGAAACAAGCCACAGCCAAGATCCTGCCTGAGATAGCTTGGTCTTGGGGCAGACTGGCATTGACTGTGCCTGATTGACTAGGAAAAACAGCTCTTAGGAAGAAAATACTTAAATAAGAGTATTTGCAGGTTTGGTTTTTACTGAGATAGTCATCAGGAGGGAGTTTGCCTCAGGCTGCTGAAAAGGGATGTGGGGAAAACTAGTTTCTGGGTTTTATTTTCTCTTTGTTCTCTGGTTTTGTTTTATTTGTTTATTCTGAAACATCAGATACAGGTTTCTGCAGTGGGTGGAATGACAGAACTGGCCATCAGTGGCTCATCAAGATGAAAACAGATGAGTCACAGTGTTCCCCAGCATGTCTTCCTGAAGGGGTAACATCATCTCCCTCTTTCTTCTTTTCTGGGCAGGTAGTATTTTTCAGGAATTAACCCAAATGGTCCAGCATGAGGAAAGGTTCCTTGGACTAGCAGATCAGCTTAATCCAGATCTCTTGCATTTTTAGTTGGTGAAACACCCTAAAGATTAATCAGTGCCCAGTGCATATGCACCATGGGAGTGGCTATAGCATAAGCCTTTTAGAAATCCAGACATCTGGATGATGTGAGCTCACTTTAGCCTGAGTGGGTTATGTGTTCCCCACTACTCTAATACAGCAGCAGGATTTGGGTTAAAGTTGAGATTTTTCAGATATGATTTGTGCTTTTAATTTCACTAAGTAGTAGCCCCTTTCTCAGTGTGCAGCACAGCAGCCTGGAACAGCCAAGGCTTGGAAGAGCAGCTTCATTTTAATTTGTTTCAAGCAAAGTTGTTCCACCTCCTGTGGAAACACAAGCCTCTAGGGCTTAAGCCATTGTGTCTCCACATCAGCTCCAAAACCTGACTTCTTACACAAAGCTCCAACCTTTTAACTGCACAGCACCAGTTTCAGCTGGTGCTTCAATAAGATAAAACAGCAGAAACTAAGCCCTGTCCTCATCTGAGCAAAGAATCTCTGTGACTGTGGCCCTTGTCCCCACAATTCAAAGACAAGGTATGGTATGGTGAGTGGGGATAGTGCTGCATGTTCACACCTCAGCTGTCACCAGGGAATGGGAGAGCCATTTAGGGTGCATCTCCCTGCAGAAGGTTTTACTACACATGTAGAGTTCCCTGAGCAGTTCTGGAGAGAGGCAGTTGATGTATGGTGTACACATGTATTGGTTTCAGTGCAGCCAGGAGGCACTGAGCTGTTCAGGGATCCCCAGGAGTTTTCTAGCCCCAAATGTCCCTCAGATTGTTTGCAGAAGGGATTCTGGTGGTTCCTGTGCTGTATGGATCGAGCAGTGTGAACACCCACTCTGCACCCACTCCCAGTGTGGTTGATGGAGTCCCTTGACAAAACCTTGACAGAGTCCCAAGTCTGTGGCTTTGTGAGCCAAATTCTTCTGCTGGAGTCAGATATTCAGTTCACAGAAGGCTCTGTGTGGCACCAGCCAAATCATTTAACTCCTTTACCCATCTGTTAAATGTATAGCTACTATTCAGAGCTGTGTGGTTTCATTTAATTAACGTTTGCAACAGACTTTGGAGCATTTGAAGAAAGGTGCTGAACAAGGGCACAGCTTTTAGGCTCCCACAGGGGGGTTGAGTTGATCATGGCTTCTAAGAAGTTTAATTTTAGATCAATGCATCTATCAAGAGACTTGTTGCTGCTCACACAGGGAGACCATAACTACTCTCTGCCCCAGCCTCTTCCCAACAGGAATATGTGGGACTGAGGTTGTACAGACTCCTTCCCTCTACATAAAGAAATTTGAGATCAGTAGTGATAATAATAATGTAGATCCACATATCCCTAGCAAATAAACCCCCAGTATTTGGGAATGAGAATCTATCTAGGATTTAGAATCTTGCCAACCTCCAGAGCATCCTTTAAAAAATAGACTTTAATCCTATCTCAAATGCCAAACAAAAATACCAATTAAATGTCATTTTCTATAAAAATGAGATGACCTTTTCTAGAAAAGGTGAAGCATTAAAATAAAAAAAACCCCAAACCTTTAAAGTAAAAAGGAACCCAAACAAATTAACCTCCTATCACACACCACACTCCCAAGATGAAGCAAATACAAGGGTTTAACTGTAGCTCCTGACAATACCCCAAACCACATCTCACTGGTGCTACTCTGCAGGGACCATTTTCAGAGCCTGCTGAAGCCCTGGACAGGACAGCAGTAGAGGTGTGCAGGGACCTGGTGTAAATTTACTTTCCTACAACCTACCTGTGACACAACTGCTGGAAGACTGCAGTCCTGCCAGCACAACTCAGCAGCTGACTGGTTTTAGTAGCACTTGCCTCTTCTTTTCTCCCCACCCTAACAAGCCACCCCTCATCAAAGCTGGACATCCCCCCAGACTCCCAATCTGCATTTGAAAGTAAAGTTGCCTTTCTACTTAGCAGCCATTTCACTGTGTACCTTGCCAAACACATGGCAAAATGGTTTTATAAGCTCAGGAGTCCAATTTTCATTTCTTTAGCCTTCTGAAGGCTAGAGAGGTACAGCAGAGAGACAAGCACCTACACTCAAACACAGTTCCCACTCTAGTGAAAGATGTTTCTAATGTCATCAGAGGGGCAGCATCAAGGACACAACATCCAGCTCACTGAAGAGCTGCAGGCTCCTCCTCAAAACAGTTGCTGTGTTCTCTCCTCTCAACAGTTCCTTTGTAATGGCAATGTTTTAGGTTGTCTGCATTCATGGAAACAGTGTTAGATTTTTACAATAAGCACAACAGGTCATGCAATCACAGTAAGTATTGTGCCTCTTATTGTCCAAATGCACATTAAGTTACCAGCATCCTGCAAATCACCACAAAACCTGCCCTTTTCTTTCATTCCCTGGAATATTTGTCCCTGCTCTCTTCAGAGGGAAAGGCTTAATGTTGACAGCATAGTACTGACTGGTAAATGGAATTCTGTTATGTCACACTGGACAGGATGTAGACAGACACAATGTCTAACTTGCAGTGTTAAACTTACAGTGTCTGATCACAATTCTGATTTTCTAATGTCAGAAAAACAGAATAACATTCAATATACATGTGTATTTTATACATACATATATATATATATATATATAAACATGTGTGTGCATATATACAGACATGCCAAGCAACAACATGGATTGTTTCAGTCACCATTCTCTATTCCTGGTTGTACTGGTGACTCAGACAGGAAGGTGGACATGTCCTGGGCACTCCTGCCACTGAGCAATCCAGTCCTTCCCCAAAGGAACCACTCAATGGTTCAGAAAACAGGGATTGCTCTGGGTTACAGAGATGCTCAGAGGCAAGATGCACAGTCTTTGACTTCTGAACTAGTGATGTGAATCCTGTCTCAGCTGCAAGTCATTTTCACCAGAGAGCATTGCATGGATAACACAGATGACAGAGGAGTATGATCCTTCTGCATTTGTAGCAGTTTTGTGCTCAAGTGTAGTGCTCCTCACTCAGATTAACGTGTTCAACTGCTGCTTGCACATTAACACACAGATCACTGTCACTCTGTGGTGCTCCTGCTCTTCACACATTCCTGTTCCATTCCCAGGAACTGTCTTTCTAATAACTTTCTTTTCAATGCATGTCCCAGGTACTTTGCCAAGAAAATGCAAGAAAGAGCTGCTGGCAGTAAAACTACGAAACAGACCAAGTAAGCAGGAGCTGGAAGACAGGAATATTTTCCCAAGGAGGACAGATGAGGAAAGACAGGAAATCCGGCAGCAAATTGAAATGAAACTCTCAAAGTAAGTGCTGTGAATGAGAAGAGGGAGGAACTTCCCTTTACAATGGGGTGTCCTCTGAGCTCTGTCAGATGAGGCACTGTCACCCACCCCCATGTCCATTGCTTGCAGTGAACCATACACAAATTAATATTGCATATTTTCAGCTGTCAGTCAGCCATAGGGAAAAAATAATCTTAACTCCCTCTTCAGTCAGGATTGCCTTGATTCTGATAGAAAACAAGACAGAAGTCAATGTGGGAGACAAAATTCTGCCAAATCTACTTGCAGCTCCACTGAGTAATCAAGATTTTGAGGTCTTGCAGCAAAGCTAGTGCTTTGACAAAAACAGTAATATAAACATTTGTTCACTGATTTGGCTTTGTCAGCACCAGCTGAATTTGAGGATGATGGCAATTGTCATAGCTGTGTATTTACTTGCACAAGGGAAAGCTGATGTTTTGGGGGGGTGCATTGGTGCTTTAAGGAAGAAGCTACTCCAGCAGCATTGCCCTCACCTGGGTGAGGTGTGTGTAAGCCCAGCTGCAGGCACAGCAGGGATGCTCAGGGTTTGATCAGTAACCAGGGCAACAGGGGAGAGCTGTGAGAGAAAAAGCATTACTGTGGCATGTAGCCAAAAGCAAAGAGTTAGGGTAACTGTGAGGCTCAGACTGCACCATTTGGTTTTTATGTGTGTGTGTGTTTTTGTGTGTGTGTTGTGTTTTTTTTTAAGAGCTACATTTGGGTATCTGCAAACATGAATATTTTAGATGAGACAAAGTGGATTGTTAAATAATCTGTGCTGCTCCTGCCCACACGGGGACAGTGAGCACTACTCACAGCCAAAATGCTTGGAATCAGATTGAGAAACATGAATAGAAGTTCATTTTCAAGGCTTATTAAATATTAAATATCTCAAGCCTCTCCTGAAAGAAACATTTATTGATATTTAGACTAGCTCATTCATGTGTATGCTTTTGATTAAACTTGACCTCAGGGGACAGGGAATGAGAAGCACACAAATGGATCAGAGCACGAGTCCTAATGGACCAGAGTTTATGGAAGAAAACATCACTGCCATCATCACACTTGCCCTCAGCTAAGAAATGAGCTGCTCAGTGAACACAGATGAGATTTTGGGTGCCCTTCATGATGCCTCTGCAATGTTTTTGGATGGAATCAGTGCCTTCCTCCAGTCTCAGTGATTGCATGGACTTGTGCATTGTGCCAGTGACTCCACAGAGCAGTGCAGATGACAGACCCTGTCACAGAAAACATATACTTTCCATACAAGCAGACAAGATCCTACTACAATTTACATCACGTTCTGAGAGTTACAGAGCAAATCATAGATGTGCCACATTAATACCAATTGTTTTAGGAAGGAAAGTGTCATGGACCTTCTCCATCAGGACTTTGTGTATACATTTGAGGGAAATGTTTCAAGCCACACCCCAAAATTGTTAATTCCACTATTTTGGCCAGTCAGTTGCCCATGAGATCTCTTCACAGGTTGGGAGCCTAATTTGCTCTAAATTACACAAAAAAATGGTTTCTACCCCACTGCATCCCCAACCATCACAAAGTACTCACTGAATGAGAAGATCATGTCATATCCAGCCACATCTCATATTGCTGAAATGCCTAGAAGGTCACACCTCTTCAATTCAGCCTGACTTCTGCTAGTGTGAAAGGTCTAATGAAATTGCAGCTGCAGGTGGCATAGCTCCAGGCTTTATCCCTTCCTTTTCATTTGCCATTTTACTTGCTTAATAATGAGCCTAGAGAATTATTTTAAAGGATGGAGTCAAGTGTCAGGACACAGACTTAAAAAGGAAACTGCTGCACAGGTGAAGAAAAGGGCTGGTCATGACTAGGAGCCAGGAAATATCCTGTGTGCATGTAGAGAGTGAAAGAAGCCTCCACACTGTCTGCTATGGTCTTATGGAGCAATCTGTGGTGCAGCTCATTAGCCTCATTGGGAATGTCTAGAGGATGGCTAAAAGCCACCTTTGTTCCAAGTGCTGGAGACAGACTTTCATTTAGCTCCTTCTTCCTGGAACGTGGAAGATTGAGCGCATTTCGGGGAACAGACGGAGCAGAGATTGCTGGAATAGCCAGGAATGGCAAAACAGATTGGAAGCAATCTCCCACACAACTTCCAGCACATATGTGCTCTGGCAGAGCTCAGCTCTTAACTCATCCACCAGAATAGAACATGACCGTGCAAACAAGCTCAGGTGGTGGAGACATGCAGGAAAATATTTACACCAGGCAAAGAAAGTAGGTGTCCAAACGAACCAATGACCAACCAACCAAGGAAAAATGGGTACTGGGAAAGGCCAAAGAGTCAATATCTCTCCAGAATTTCTGACTAGGACTAGGTCTCACCCCACAAACTCCAGACCACCCCAAGCCCCCGCTCAGAGCATGGCCTGGCTGTAGTGTGGAGATGAAAACACACAGGGAAGCATGAAATTCTTGGATAAGTTTTTGAGGTCTTTGCATTCATTCATTTCACCAGTCCTTGTGCAGCATAGTCTCTTTGTGACAACCTGGAATTTTATAGCTAAGGAGCTTACTGCTGAGGTGGGAGGGGAAATGTCTGGGAAATGGGATCCAGTAGAAATGCCTGTTCTCAATAAGGTTTTGCTATACCTATGCAGATAAGACCATGTTACTGCTGTTGTACTAGTAACACTTAGATAACAGCAAGTCATGAATCCACATGTACCATCAGGCTATAAACCTGTCCTTTAGCACAAAGGAATAATACACAGGCAAATTAGCAGTACTTATTCAATGGGTGGCTGCCTAAGCATGGCAAGTAAACAAGCAGTTGCTTACAAGATCAATATTTTCCAGCCCAGTCATAGGGATTTGAAACCCTGCAGCTGTCTAGAAAATTGCCCCAGTCCCACAGCTAACACAGCCTGGCTCTGTATTCTGGAGGGAAAGCTGTGCTGACATATATAATGTGCAAAACAGACCAAATAATAGCATTTATGTAACTTCAAAAATGGGGAGACAAAAGAATAACATCTCAAAACTGCTGTATTTTTTAAGTCGTTCTGGTCACAACACATCTCAACAGTAGCTCTGAACCTGCTGAGAAAACCAGCTCTGCTATCATTCTGAAGAGTGTTTATGAAGTCAAAGCTAAAATCCCTATTTTTCTTCGCTTTTCAACTCCTCCTATCTCAAAAGAGAGATTGATGATATGTTCTGGGCCAGATTGTACTTTTACAACAGTAGAAATCAACTGACCACATTTATTATTGACAGACAGCACTGTAAAGACAGATCTCAGGCTTCATTTATGTGCACTGCTGCTTTGGAGCAGTGTATTTCCCATATTCTGTGCTCCCAGCTAATTTAATGTACCACTTGTTGCCGTGGAAACATGCACTTCTCTCTCTTCCTCCATCCAAAATGGCAGTATTCCATTTTTCCCAGATTTCCCTGTGCTGCAGTGTTTCTCTTAGTAATTCATGCGTCCCCAGTGCCCCAGGCCATGGTGTACACTTGCAATATCCTACTGTGCATTAGGCAATGGGGGTCCCAACACGTCCTGCTTCCCATTATTATGTGTTCAGAGCATAGATAATAAGCCCTCGATGGAATTCAGTGAATTGAGAGCTCTTTGTGTCACGAGGCAGAAAAGACATTTGCAAGTAGGATTGTTTGCAATATCTGCTTTCTGCCTTACAGACTCACGTTGGTCTAGGAGGGGTTGGAGCTGAAACCTGGGGGAGTGAAAGAGTTGCTAGACTGAAGAGTGACGCAGAAAAGGGTTGTTTAATTAAATTTGATATCTGACTGTTTAGGAAGTTGATGTCTGAACTGCCTGGGTGGCTGGTGCTTCTCAACAATGCCTCATATACCCACAGTCAAAGACACCCCACTCTGACTTAATGTTTCAATGAAAACATGAATTCCTGGAAAAGACTTGTAATTTTCACTTCATGTTCTCTTTCACTTCCTCGGACATTTGCATAAGTAGACACGATGTATTAAGCAGCACTTAACAGATCATGGAGACAGGAACTCACATACAGAAATACAGGCACCAAGGGAGGCAGGCAGGAAGAACAATGGGTTTGTGAACACAGAGTAGAACCAAAACTTGAGCACCTAAAACTGATCTTTACCACACCGAAAATGTTGGCATGGCTACATGAATCATGCTGGGGCAAGGTTTCTTGGCAATGAAAAGTGAAAAGGAGGTATCTTTATTCAGTACTTCACCACATCTAGAAATCTGTAATTCTAGTGCTGCCCTGAGGTCCTTGGAGAGGCATTTTCAAGTTGACTTGCCCAGAAACTGCAGATATAGCTAAATGCACACCCACGTTAGACCCTGGTTTGTACCTTGGGCTCAGGTAACAGGGCGTGAAGTTCACAGTGCTGCTGGAGACAATACCAAGCAAACAGTACTTCAGATGTGCAGCCTAAAAGCAACATGGAATGGAGTTCAACACAGAGCAATCACAAGAAAAATTTTACCTCTTGATGACACAAAAGCTGTACCTTGCTTCCCAAGGACGGCACGTCCAGTGCCACATCCTCACAGAAATGTCTCACTGCAGCTTTGCTCGTTGAAATGGCACCAGCTGAGACATGACTGATCAGACTGAGAGATTCTGCAGGAAACTGGGCTGGAGCCCCAGGAATTTGGAGAATATTTCTTTTATTTTGAGCAAAAAGGGCGTGTGTATGTGTAAACTACTAGTAGCCTTAATGCAGAAGTTAAGTAGCTACTGAAGTAGCCTAAATTCACCTGGAGATTAGCAAAGTGTTTGCTGGAGCTCCAACTGTGCTCCAAGTCACTGAACTAGCAATCAGGGAACTGCCCCTACTGCAGAGGGCAGGGAAGACCTAACAGATTTATTCCAGAGACAGAAAGGCAGGGACAAGCACAAAGAACAGATCAGCTGTCCCCACCAATTAGCTGTGTACAGTTTAATGCCTTTCATTCTCATTTGGCAGGAACCATCCAGGTAACCATCTCACTGGGGCTAAAA